ATGCTGCTAGGTGCTAACTGATTCAACCACGCCCTGGCCGAACCCTCTAGCATAAGTGGCAAATGCTTCATGGCCACCTCATCATTACCGCCACCAATCTGAACAGCCACTCGGTAATCTTCAAGCCAAGTTTCAGGCTTAGGCTCACCGGTGAACTTACTCACTCCAGTCGCCAACCTGAAGTTGGGGGGTATCACTGCGGCTCTGATGGCTCTGCTAAAGCATTCTGGACCTGAAACATGGACTCGGCTGCTTATGGGCACATCTCTGTAATGGCCACCTCTATGAGCTCTGTTCCGGTCGACCAAACCTTGCACGATGATGGATCTCGCGTCAAAGCCTGGCTCTCTGGGGTCGACTAGAGCTCTCCGCCCAACACTGAGCTGGCGTCTGTTATCTTGCTGCCGATGGGCGTTAGACCCACTTCTCGGGGGAGGAGTGGGCACTCGACGCCTATCATCACGATCAAATGGATCATCATAGGGGTCCCGCCGGCCTTCACGTCCCGCGCGCCTTGGAGGCGGCCTTGGACTGTGAGCCGACTGAACAGTATTCACAGCGACAGATCGACTGTGAATCCTGTTGCGCGACTGTGACACAACTGAATTTTGATCTCCTGCCGCCCGGAGAAAATCTCTGATCTGCATCAAGCCTCTTCCAGCCTCCGACTGAGAGGGCTGAATTGACTCCGCTATACGGGCTGCAGCTGCCAAATTCTGAATCGGGGTTCGATATACCTGAGTCGGTTGTGGAAAGAGCTGGCGTCGGCGGGAGTCGGGTACTCGCTGGCGCGCACGCTCGTCGAGTGCTCGCTGGAGGTTCTCCAGTCGAGTGCGTTCAGCCAGGTTGGCTAAACGCGCCTCTTCCAGGGCACGAGCCTCAGGAGTTTCTCCTGCAATGGGAGTATGCAGGGCATCCATGTTCCGGCGGCGAAGTTCTTCTCTCTGCTGAGAAGTGAGTGGCTCAGGCTGATACTCTTCATGGGCCTGAGCGGGGTCGCCCCCGTCGTCCATCCCGTCGTTGCGGGGGAAACCGGGAGGACTACGAGGCCGGTTGACCATGAGGACCTCCGTCGCTGGATCACTGCTATCGCACTCGGATGCAGCCTCTACGGAGCCAGTCGACAGGTCAAACAGGCCGTAGAGAGATTCGTCGGGCTCAATTGCCGCGACTTGGGTGGTGGCCGATTGGCGAGCCACTGCGTGTCTCACCCATCGCTGGAGCCTCGATCGACCGGAGCGCTTGCGCTGGCGAGAGACAGGGAGGGAGGATGGCGCAGGAGTCGACCGGTATGGGGTCGACGGCTGCCGCGGCAGGACGCCGCGGACACACGCCCGAAAGTGCGTCGCCCCGCGGACGAGGAGCGCATCGATGTCGAGTGGTGCCTCCTGGAGCCAAGCGGAGTCGTCGGCGATGAAAGCGAGCGCACCGAGACGGATCTCGCGACCCTCGACCAGAGCTCCGCCGGAAACCATGATGAAGGCGATCGGACAAATTGCAACTTCTCCAAAAAGTCGCTAAGACACCTGCCCCACGGTGGGCGCCAACTGTCGTGGTTCTAAGTCTGACAGTAGAATGGGGGGTAGGTATGGAGAGGCAAGATCCTAGCTATGGAGTAGTTGTACACACGAGTGTTTAACGAGTTCAGGCCCTTCTCTGAGGAAGTAATAGCCCTACGTCTCGGAGCCCGGAGGCGGTCGACTGGTTTATGTGTATATGAGTTACAGGGGTGCGAACCCTTCTACCAGTGGAGGGGGTGGCTTATATAGTGGACGCCAGGACCCCAGCCAACCCACGTAGCAGAGGGTTAAAGTACATTAAGGCCGGGCGTTACTGGCAATGCCCTACATAAAGTGCCATCATGACCATTAAGACTACTTTAATTACAGACCATTTGGATACAGAGTAGATCCTGAACTCCTGATGGTCGAGTGAGTCTTCATGGTCGAGTGTCTTCAGGTTCGTCGAGTGTCTTCTAGCTGGTCGAGTGGAGTCTCTCTTGGTCGACTGGAAGGTAGCTTCGTCTAAGGATGTCCTTGGGTATGGTATCCTGGATAGGTCCATGACCCTACCCTAGGTACATAACATCATCAAGCAGCGCCAGCATTGAGGATCAGGTATGCCACGCCGGTTTCTCGCCTCTTTTCGCCGTTCACAAGCCAACTGTTTGTTCGTCCCCACGCAGTTGCTGCGCATGTTCGGCCTGTATCGGCAGGGCAACAGCAACGTCGAGTTCAAGTACCTCCACGTCTACAAGCGCATCGACAAGTGCGACAAGTGGGCGGAAGTCCGGCGCACCATCGAGAAGGCCAAGGAGACCTACAAGCCTGACGCGCCGACTCCGGGCACGTGAGATGGGCGGCCGGACGGCAACAAAGGTGCCAAGAAGGGGAAACACACCGACGCGGCCACAGCTCGCGTGCAGGAGTCCATCCAGCACTGCCTCGCCGACGCACAGGTCCGGGCCGCCCTTCGTGAAGAGAAGACCGAGGCGCGTTGGTCGGCGTTGATGTCGACCAGCGCCGTCAAGCTCGACCTACTCTGGACCAACGTCGCCGCGAAGAAGAGGAACACCGACCTGGCTTTCCTGCTGGGCGGGGCGGACATGCTCCAGAGCACCGACGAGGCGGTCAAGGCGTGGTATAGGGCGCATGTTGGCCTCATCCTGGACCAGCTTCCCTCGGCGACGCCGCCCACGCCCACGACGCCCACGCACACGCCGCCGCCGCCGCCAAGCCCGAACGCTGATGCTGCCGAGACTACCCGCAGCACAGAAGCCACACCGCCGAGCACAGAGGCCGCGTCAAGCCCGTGCACGCCGACTCCGGCGACGCCGGAGGCCGACCTTGCCGCCTGATGCGTGCTTCCGTCCTTTCCTGCTTTTTTGTACGCCGAACATTTCATCCGGCCGCCAATCTAGGCCGATTGATCGCCGGATTGTGGCGTCTACTAGGACTTGGGAATTCTAGTAGTACTTGGGAGTCCTAGTAGGACTCCCTATGCTTGGCGAGCCCCCTAGGCCGGCCGCCTCCTCCCTCCCTCCTTTATATACGGGGAAAGGGAGCACCCCAAAGGCACTCCAAGATTTGTCATAGCCGTGTGCGGTGCCCCCCCTCCACAGTTACACACCTCGGTCATATCGTCATAGTGCTTAGGCGAAGCCCTACCCCGGTAACTTCATCATCACCGTCATCATGTCGTCGTGCTGACGGAACTCTCCCTCGGCCTCAACTGGATCAAGAGTACGAGGGACGTCATCGAGCTGAACGTGTGCTGAACACGGAGGTGCCGTATGTTCGGTGCTAGGATCGGTCGGATCGTGAAGACGTACGACTACATCAACCGCGTTGATAAAACGCTTCCGCTTTCGGTCTACGAGGGTACGTGGACACACTGTCCCCGCTCGTTGCTATGCTTCTCCTAGATAGATCTTGCGCGCTCGTAGGCAAAATTTTGAAATACTACGTTCCCCAACAACACGACGGGCAATGAGAGCCGAGACGACGCCTTCAAGAAGGGAGCGAGCTTCGCCGCCGCCAGTCCGTCCGAAGATAGGGCAGGTTTTCACCCCGGCCAACACTCACCACCACCGGACGCCACATCCCATTGACCATGCCGCCCACACGGCCATGGCCACCGGGCAGCACCTAACCACGGGCTCTGCCCAAGAGCACCGCAGAGCCACTACCAGGGCCACCGCCCTGGCATCCAAGACCTGGACACCACCTCACTCGACACCAATCGCTACCCCAACCAAAGATACGAGCGGAAAGGAGTCACCTTTCGCATCCCTGGGCTGCCCCCAACGCCGAAATCCAAAGGCCGGCCAAAATTGGCCTCCACCGACCCGTCCTGCTATCAGGCGCGAGATGAGCACGGTCCTGCTGCCGGGCGCGAGACGAGCATGATCCTGCTGCCGGGCGCGAGACGAGGTCGGTCCTGCTGTCGGGTGCGAGACAAGGTCAATCCTGCTGTCGAGCGCGAGACGAGCTCAGTCCTACTGCCGAGCTCGAGATGAGCGATGGACCCTAGTCGGGGGAGGGCCGAACCTTCGACGAAGGTAGCAACCAGATGACGAGGAGAGGGCCGAAGGTCGAAATGGGCCACCTACAGACAAGCCAACGCCGAAAAGCCAGCCGCCGCCCCAGTCAACCCGCTGAGCTGTCGTGGAGCCGGCACGATGAAGCCACCTCACCGTCGCCGCCCACAGCCGGGACCGGAGCCATGCCAGGCCGGGGCCCCAAACTCGCGCAGCCGACCGAAAAAGGCAAAATCCGGCCGACACGCATCACCACCGCTGCCACCATTCCGACGACGACGAGTGCATCAGCCCCCGTGCGCCGCCGGCAGGCCCTTGCCGTCGCCCCGCCGCCAACCAGAGCCGTCGGGGCCTCCACCACGTGCAGCCGCCTTGCCACCCACGCGGCCAAAGACGACCAGCACCGCCGCATCTCGCCGATGGCGCGTCGACCAGATCCGAGCAAAAGAAGCCCCGATCCACCGCCAAAACGGCCAGCCACCGCGGGGAAGACAGAGAGGAGGGGACCGCCGCTCCAGCATTCAGCGCCGCCGCGCCGCAGAAGAGGCCTGAGGGCCAGATCCACGCCGGTGCGCAGCTCCGCGACGCACGCCTCGCTGTCTAGGGCCGGCCTCCGCGCGCGACCAGAGAGAAAGGCCCGCTGCCGCGGGCAACCGCACGGGCTTTGCCCGGCGGGGACGCCCGATGGCGGCGAGGGGGTGGGAGCATGTGGGGGTGGCGGCGGCGGTGGGGGTTAGGTCACCCTAGCCGCCCCCTGGAGAGCGACGCGGGTGGGTTCGGAAGAGTGCTTTCACTTAGTATTTTCAAAGTTATATCATAAAATCATTTAACAAGAAATACACGTCCACTCAAAGGACAAGGACCATTTTCAACTCTGACCGGATACAAGTACATATTATACTAAGATTAAGCAAATAAACCTTCCATTTTCGTGCCGTAGCAATTGTCCTGGCATGACTCACTAGTCTTGTATGTAAGGCGGGAGCATCCCTTTCAGGAAAGAAGTCAACATTATCAACGCCCTCTCAGGCTGGAAGGACGGGACAAGATGACCGGCACCTCTCACTGATAGAAATGTCAACCCTCCGGCATACTGCTGGACATATCCTGCCACCTAACCAGTGAGTGAAGTCGTCAGTTTCAGGGTGACCAAAACATTGTAGTAGATGAGAAATGTTTTCGAACATGGGATTTTACCTCCTCCTTTGCCACCCATGGGCGCCATGGAGTGGCCACAGGAAGGCCAAGGTCTTGAATGGAGTACCTCGTCGCCGGAAGAGGGCACACGGAGTCAAAATCACCACTGTAAAATGTAGGAAAATTTATCGTACTACTAAAATTAAATGCTTTTCGGACGTCTGAGAATAACTGATGGTAATCTGTTACTACCTGAATATCCAAACGGGAAGCTTGTTCTCGATCAAGAATTTGATGGATGGGAGCATCGTCACTGGAGCGTCTTTCCACGTAAAGTTTCTGCAGGCACGGTTCACATGGTTAATTGCTGACCGGTGTATGCTAATTCAGTATCCAGTTCAACGAATTACCTGCAGGGCGACCACTCTGTCATCCTAGCGTGGAAAGCCTCCTGCACCGCTGGATCGTTGAGATAGGCAATAGTAGGATAGTCGCTGCACGGATCATACCCAGGCAGCTGCATGCAATTTTGGAGAAACTAAGAACATGGTGACTAATTTCACTTACTGGACAAGCAACTAAGAATTTATTTCCTTACGTAGCCACTGGGGTGATACGCTCCGTCGGGCGCGTCGACGCAAACGGGGGCGTAGATGTTGTACGCATCAATCTGGCCGGCGTCGAACGCGTCCCAGGCGCCGCTGCATGCTTTACCTGCAGAATCGCAGTGCTTGGTGACGTTGGCGTAGACCTCGTCCGACATCACTCCATGGGTCCAGAAGAAGTCAATCGTCCCCTGATTGTTCCTCTTGTCGTCGAGATAAGGGTTGCCAACCTTGAGCAGAAAAGAGTCCATATTTCATATTCAGAAGATCTTTTGTCATCCACCATGTGTTCATACGAGTATGACTATCAACGGAAGATCTTTGTCATTCAGAAGATCACTTGTAAATTTCACTTACCAAGATGCCCTGAAGGTTGACTATGGTTCTGTTGTTGTACGTGTTGTGGAGCAGGATGGTGGCGGCGAGCTGCGGCGCGTAGTGGCCGGCGTAGCTCTCGCCGGAGACGTAGAAGGCGCGGCCCTTGTACTCCGGGAACCTCTCCAGCCATCTGACCAGAAAGACGTACGCGTCGGCAGCGGTCCGCTCGTCGCCACTGAGGTCGTAGTCCGAAGACGTGTTGGAGTAGGAGAATCCAACACCAGCAGGCGACTCCAGGAAGATCAGATTAGCCACTGCCATTATTTTTCACAAGCAAAATTAAGTAAGTTCACTTCTCTTCTGTAACTAAACAGGTAGTACAAATTAAAGGGGAAGAAATTATTAGTCTGTATATAGAAGCCGCCCATAGGTTTTACCGTTGTTCCAGGAGTTTAGGTTTCTGCTGAGCGTTTTGTTGTCTTCGGTCACGCGGAAGGGGCCGAGCTCCTGCATTGCACCGTAGCCCAGAGACGAGCATCCTGGCCCTGTGTATGCAAGAAGTGTCACTACGTACTGTCCTAGAGAAATTTTCACACGACATGTTCAGTTGTCAACATATGTATCATTCTTTCTCGCAAAAAAGAAAAGAAAACATATGTATCATTCTAACCTCCATTGAGCCACAAGACGAGTGGCTTGTCCGAGGCACCTGAAGGCGACTCGACGAGGTAGTAGAAGAGGGCGCGGCCGTTCTCCTCGTCGACGGCCACGTACCCCCCGTACTGGTCGAAGTCGACGCCCTCCGGCTGGCCCGGCAGCGCCGTGATCTTATCGGCCGCCTTGAGAGAGCCCTGGTCAGAGGCAGAGCTCTCCGCGCTCAGGCTGCCAGCGACCCTCTCGGCTATGCTACGCACTCTAAACGTGTCGGTGGTGCTGTCGATGTTCTTCCTAGACGAGATGAACTCTCTCAGCCGTGCCTCTTGGGATGCATATGCATTGGCGTGCAGTGTGGCCACGCAACTGAGAAGCAAGACATAAGAAGAGAGGCTCGTCATCGTTGATGAGAATGAGATGGTCGTCTCTGAGATGCAGGGCTGGTTTATATAGGCGCAGAGGAATGGAAGAGGTCGGTTTGCGGCAAGGACTTTTGGGATTTGGTCCCTATTACTCCCTCCGTCCAAAAATACTTGTCATCAAAATGGATAAAAAGAGATGTATTTAGAACTAAAATACATCTAGATACATCCCTTTTTATTCATTTTGATGACAAGTATTTTCGGACGGAGGGAGTATATTACATACAAAAGTGCTCTGCATTGACTGTTCTGCATCAGGTTTACGTTATTGTTTCCACTCAAACCATCCGAGGAGGGTCGCTCCTCCTTGCCAACGCTTTTGATTCGGTATTGAAAGCGAAAGGAGCAGTGTTTTCAACCGGTTCTTTATCCACTTGACTTGTTTTGGTCGCTGATTTGGAGGATAATCAACGGCAACTCCTATACCTACTGTGCGCGAACTTCTTGCACATTAGACCACCTGCGCGAATGCATTGTCAGAAAAGACCCACGGCGAGAATAATTGACAAAGCCCACACGTGAACATTTTTCTTCGCTGCTTACTTCAGAACTTCTAGTGGCATCCACTCATGTGAGAGTGCGCTATACTAGTGCTGCCACACTTTCTATGAGTCTGTTTTTCTCCCTTTTTTTTTTTTTGCGGCTGCACTTAGCATGAACCTAACAAAGACAAAATGACATTTTTGCATTGGAAACGAACCAATGGTCAGCATGCATATTTATTAATAATAGTAGGTTCACAATGCAACGGAAAAAGGGTTTCCCTGCTTTTGTATACAAAGCAACCAACAGAGACAACCAACGATAGGTGCTGGGCGGAGTCAGCACAGTCACGCCCAAAAGAAAGAAAAGAAAAAATACAAGAGAAACAAATGCTGACAACGAGGGATCGACAAAAAACGAAGAAGCCTCGTGACCGCTGCATCCACCGGAGATCGCACACCAAGCTCCGAGCCTCCGAAGCACCGTACCAATCAACACATTCAAGAAGGGACACAACGATGATGATGATGTTGCCTAGGGTTTTCCCCGGTACGCGGTGAGGAGAGAGAAATGGTAGCCCCGACGCCATCCAGAAAGGTCCGATGGCACCCTCATGCGCCACCACGTCGGTGTCGGCCAATCCAACAGGGATTTCTCCTGATCCCAACCTTCACCTCAGGCAGTCCAGAGCTCGCCACCAAACCGACCACCACCCTGCACCAACCCGGTCATGAAGCTTCTCACGTTATCTCACCACGGCACTGCGAAGCATGGCCTGCACAATGAAGAGAGGAGTCGGGACTAGGGCAGCAGCACCGTCGGCACACGGGAGGGCCCCACCTCCACTGTCAACGAAGGTAGCTGACCGGACGCAATAGCAGGAACATACCAGGCCCGTGGCCGCACAGGCCTGGCCGAAATCTCCGAGGCCCGTAAAGTTCCTGCCTTCGCACTGCAGCCAGCATGCCGTCGGCGTCGCCGCCCCTGTCCAAGCCGCTCCCATGCCTCCCCGCACAGAGAGCGTCAAGGCAGAGCCGTAGCCGGCCCGCTAGGACCCAGATGGGGCCCTACGGACCTAGATCTGGGCCGGGGTCGCGACACCGGCCACCCAGCACCACTGGACCGCACCGCCGTCAAGTGAAAGCACCACCACCACGCGCACCGCCGGCCACCACCACCAGGTCACCGGACCGCCACCGGCCGAGCCGCACCACCGTCGCAACGCCCACTGTGGAGAGGAACCCTCGCAGCCGCCGGGAGCCTGAAGCCGGTCCCCAGCCGCCGCCCACACCGCCCGCTGCCCGCATCGCCTGGTAAGATCCGTCGGCACTGCCGTTGAATCGCGACCACGCATGCCCCACCATGCAGCCGCCGCGCCACCACGAAGCACCAGCGGGGCCGCCACATTGGCACTACCAGGAGCTCCCGGATCCGCGCCGCTGAGCCCCGCCACAGCCCGACGCCTCCTGCAGCCCGCCGTCCCGCGTCGGCCAGGAGCTCTGCGAGGAGGAGAGGATGCGACCCCGCCGCCGCCTACGCCGACCGGGCTTCGCCCGATGGCACCCCTAGGCGGCGGAGGAGGAGGAGGAGGCCGGAGGAGGGGAAGCTGGGGACGGAGCTAGGGTTCCCCCGGCCCGCTCGCGGGAGCGGCCGTGGGGGTGGGGAAAGAGCGGTGATTAGAGAGAATGTCGACGTTCGTACTCCGTTCACAATGCAACATACCATTGAGATTCTCCTCTCATATATTTATTGAAGTTGATAGACTATATGACCAGAATGCAATCGAGATACAACACAGATCAACAATAACAGTGAGAAAGCACTAATCTGCTTGGCCTTTGGATTAAAGTTCGATTGTAGATTTAACTAAGTTGGGATCTTTTCTTCGCAAAAAAAAAAAATACGAAGCTGAGATCATTAGATTAAGTAAAAGACTTCTCTTGCCTCTTCCACAAGCAAGTCCCACGTTAGGGTTCCCCTGCCTCCCGGCGGCAGCGTTGCTGATCTACCTCACCTCCTGTGGCACTAGGGCTATGCAGCCGCGGTGGATCCCAGCTTTTGCGGGTGGGAGGGCTCCAACTTTGTGTCTAGGTTTTTTTTAGCGTGTTTACTGTTTGTGTCCTGTTCAAGAAGACGAGCCAGCGGCGACTCCCTGAAGATGCAATAAGGTTCGCCCAACCTAGCCCATGTTTTGGCGGTGCGTCTTCGTCATTGAAGGGCATGTGAAGGTGTGTTTCTGACGTGTGTCACAAGATTCGGTCAGTATTTCTCTTCGATGGATCTGTTTAGGTTTAGTTGTTGTTATGTCTACATGTTGAGATGGTCGTCTTTGAGACGCACGGTTTATATAGGCGCAGAGGAATGGAAGAGGTCAGTTTGCAACAAGGACTTCTGGATTGGGCTCTATTATTTTTTACAAAAGTGCTCTGCATTGATTGTTCTGCATCAAGTTTATGATCACTGCTTGCCAATGCTTTTGATTTTGTAAACGGCCTCCATTTGTTGAGTTGGCAAGGAATTGAAAACGAAAGGGGCAGTGTTTTTTCAGCCGGTTCTTTATCCACTTGACCTGTTTTAAACACTGGTTTGGAAGATTATCAACGGCAATTCCTGTACCTACTGTGTGCGAATTATTTGCATAGACCAGCTGCGTGAATGCATTGTCAAAAAAGACCCACGGCGAGAATCATTGACAAAGCCCACACGTGAACATTTTTCTTCGTTGCTTACATCAGTACTTCTAGTGGCATTCACTCATGTAAGAGTATACTAGTGCTACCACATTTTCAATGAGTCTGTTTTTCTCCCCTTTTTTTCCGGGGGCACTTAACATGAACCTAACAAAGACAAAATGACATATTTGCATTGAAAACGAACCAATGGTCAGCATACACATTTAATATAATACTGGTAAGTTCACAATACAACATATAGTACCTTTGGCCTTTGGGGTTTTCCTCACATATTTATTGAAGTTGGTAGACTATATGACCAAAATGTAATCGAGATACAACAAAGGTCAACAATAACAGTAAGAAATCACTAAACTGGTTGGCCGTTGTAAAATACTAGTCGCATTGGTCATACTCCCTCCATCCGGGTTTATTGGCCCCCTCTTATTTTGGTTTAAACTTCACCATAGATTTAACAAAAAATAAGATCTTTTTCTCGCAAAAAGTAACTAAGTTGAGATCATTAGATTAACTAAAGACACACGTTTTCTTGCCCCTTCCACAAGCAAGTCCCACATCAGGGTTTCCTTGTCTCCCGCCAGCGCCACTGCCGATCTACCTCATCTCCTGTGGCCTTAGTCCCATGGAGGCGCGGTGGATAACGACCCTTACCGGTGGGAGGGCTCCTGCTCCGTTTCTAGGTTTTTTTTAATGTTTATTTAGGGTTTGTGTCCTATTCAGGAAGATGGTGCAGTGGCCGCTCTCTGAATATGGAATAAGATTCTCCCCACCTAGCCCCCATCCCGGCAGTGATCAGTTTGGGTCTGGTCATCGTTCATCTACAATCGTGTGTCTACAGGTTGGATCCTTTTGATCTACTTTTCTCTTCGTCGATGATGATTGATGTTCTGGTGCGCTCATCCTTTGAGGCCTTACGACGACGACTTTCTGACTGTATACTACAACAAGGTTTGTCTGGCTCCAGTGAGAGAGGGGCGATGATGTGGCACACCTTAGACTCCCTCCAGTGCGTGTACTCGTCGCTAGATGATTTACGGACATGGATGTAATTTATATTGCTTGTTTTGTTCTTTCGTACTATCATGATGATTGATGAATAGATCGAAATTTTTCCCACAAAAAAAAAACCAAAAACTGTAGATTACATGTCACAAAAATTATATCATTAAAACCCTCTTTGAATACAGATCCAACAATATTTTCTATAACATATACTTTATATTTTATTAGTCAAATAAGTAATCAGAGTTTAGCCAAAATG